TGGCCCCCCCCAGCTAAAAAATCTGCATTTTTTTGTAAAATAGCCCCCAAGACACTTTTTTTTTTTTTTTTTATTTCAAGGATTGGTTTTAATGAGTTTACACATCTCTTACTTTGAAAATATTTAAAGGAAAAATCTTATAATCAAACAAATTTTCCTCTCATATTTTCATATTATGGGACTGTTTAAAAATCATAGTAAAATTAAAATTAAAGTGCAAGTTGTGTCAAAGAAGTGCATCAAGTGCAGGATGCCAAACCTTTATAAATCACCTGAGCGTTTTTAAGAAACCACATGGACTTCTTGTATCCAGCCTTGGTCTTTCTCTATGCCAGAGCTATGCTGTATTTATTATTGTGCAGAATAACAAGCATTTTAATGTTGAAAGAAATGTATTTATTACCAAGTTTCTTAAAAGAATAATGTTAATTTTATTACTGTTTTCTATCTAATATCTTTTTTTCAGATATGCAAGTTTTTACTTACATGCCTTGTAATAAAATAAATATTTGAGCCTCAGTGGGAAATCCCCAAGAATTTTTTCAAGTTGAGAAAATATTTTCAATGCCAGGCAAGGTTGCTACATGACAAATACAGCAAGGATTCCTTACATCTCTGTACGCAGGCCACTTAGTAACCTAGGATCACAAAGCAAGAACTACCCACAGCCCCAAAGCTATGACTGCACGGTATCCCTCATGTGCAAATGTAGTTGTGGTGACAGAGATAAAAATAAATAAGTCTTAAAAAAGGTATTTGGCCCTCAGCCTGAAAATACTTGAGAAAAGTAGACGAGTACTGGTACCCCAATTTTGGAAATGAAAAGAAGTGAAATATTACAGAAAGCAAGTAGCTGGCTTTGTGTGCCCTAATCCCCAATTACTGTTGGGTATAATTGTGTTATTTTCCTCCTGACCATGCTGGTTTTTGTGGGCATGCTGCAGAGTTCAGGGTAGAGGTAAGGTCATTACATTTTGCCCGCAGATAGCTCAGAAAAGCCAAATCCACAACCTGGCAGCTCTTCTTCCCTGATGATGAAAGCAACAAAATGCGACACTAATAAGGTGAGAACTGGGTTCCCCCTCTGGGGATGTGCAGCTTTCATGCACTCTGGGAAGGAGTGAGCTTGCTGAGTGTTTGGCCCCAAAATGCCTCTGCTGAGGGGATGACTTTTAGCAGTTTTTTAGGGGGAAAATATCTCATTGCAGGATGATTCTGCACTTGTGCGGTATTCAGATCTCCCCGGAAGGGAATTCCTGATCTAGAATAAACTGTTGACAAGAACAGAAAACAACATTTTGAATAGAGCACAGGCAAGATCCCTGTTGCTGGATTTTGAATTCATGCTTTTGAGTCATCAGCATGAGACTTAAGGTCGACCCCGGGCGGTCTAGAGAATGATAGTCACTCCGATACCAGTTTTCAGAACTTTAAACTCTCAGAACCTTTTCACCGTTCAAGAATGGAAACAAAATCACACAAACTGAACAAATTTTTAAGAGTACTTTTAAGAACCGAAAGTATAGCTGAACACAGATGGCATATTTCCTTAGTCTGTTCTATGCCTGCCAAGCTATGGACCCAATAAATCTAAACCAAGCAGGTTTTGAAGAATTATAAAATGTCCATGTTGATCACATAGCCTTTAAGGGTAAAAGCCATTGGTGTTCCCAGCATCACCAGATGCATAGATGGTATCATAAAAATTTGGAGTTACCTAGGAAGTTTTCATGCCCTCACTTGTCTCCTTCCACTCCTTCCCAGGGTAAAAAAATTTCCTTCTGAAACATGATTTTTTAAAGAGAACAACCAATGTGGTAGGCCCATTCCTGAGAGCCACCACAAGCTGCCACAAGGAACCATGCACAGGATGCCCTATCACCACATTCTCCCGTGGCCATGGAGAACAGACGTCACTGCACATCTGTCTTCTGGGGCTGATGCTGGTGCCTCTGAGTAGCACAGCACTGCCTTCGGACCAAAACAATTTAAAGAGCTGCCTCCACCTTGCACATCCCCATCAACCTCCTGCTGGCCCTCTTGGTCCACCCTGTAGGCACCTGGCTCGCTCTCAGTTTTCAGGGAGAGCATGAAGGAAGCTGTGGGGTGAAGATCCACCAGCAACAGTATGCCCTCCATGGAGCTGTTGCTTCAGTTTGCTCAGACGCTGTCCGGGTGTGCTACTGTCCAACCTCTGGATGTGGAGTGAGAGAGCTGGTGCTGAGGATCCACACTCTTCACGTTTCAGGGCTTTTCTTGCTTTGGACCAGGTCTTAGCCTGAACCCGTGGACCAAATGCCCACCTGGGACTGCAAAGCCCAAGTTGCACTCCTGAAGAGCACCGTGAGTTTCACCTGGAAGCAACCCTGGACATCTGCTGTGATCTGCATGGCTGCAGCAAGTTGTGGGCACAGAGGAATGGCCAGGGTTTTCTTCCACAGCTCATGAGATGAATCTGAGTCACGGTTTTAGCTGATCATCAGCAGATTATCAAATACAGAAATGTCTTACTATATATATATAACAGCTAGCATACCTGGAATGACTAATTAATACTAATTTAATCTGCAATGCTGACATTTCAAACCCTTAATATCCACAATCCCTCTGTTCATCTCAGATCTGAGCCTCCAAAACTGTGGAACAGATCAATCAGCGATTCTAATCACTGTTCTGGTTGTTTATTAAGCCAGGGCTACAATGACAGATCCTAATGCGATAATTACAACGTCGTCCCCAGACATCTGGCAGTAGCTGTGGAATACGTGAGTCACAGCAGTGAGCGCACCGAGGCCAAAATGGCAAAACTCACGGAGTCCAAATAAAAGCAAATAAATACAGAAAAAAAAAAAAGGCTAGGAACACACAAAATGCCAATTATAGTGTAATAGCTGTTACAAAAAGCTCTTTTTAGGAAGATAGATCAGATCAGCAAGAGGATTTAGGGGGCATGTCCAGCTTTAATGAATTTAATCATGACAGATTAACTGCAAGAAGAAAGAACAGATCAATCAGCGATTCTAATCACTGTTCTGGTTGTTTATTAAGCCAGGGCTACAATGACAGATCCTAATGCGATAATTACAACGTCGTCCCCAGACATCTGGCAGTAGCTGTGGAATACGTGAGTCACAGCAGTGAGCGCACCGAGGCCAAAATGGCAAAACTCACGGAGTCCAAATAAAAGCAAATAAATACAGAAAAAAAAAAAAAAGGCTAGGAACACACAAAATGCCAATTATAGTGTAATAGCTGTTACAAAAAGCTCTTTTTAGGAAGATAGATCAGATCAGCAAGAGGATTTAGGGGGCATGTCCAGCTTTAATGAATTTAATCATGACAGATTAACTGCAAGAAGAAAGGTTTACTTATGCTTTGGGACAAAACTACACTAAGGAATTATCCATCGTTATGGCACTGTGTGGATTTGCAGGATGCTACATGCTTTTGGATTTGGGAGAATTATTGATAAAATTTAGTCAAGTAAAAGGCATTTTCAATAAAATCAGTAGATGCACTGTGGATTTAACCCTCACATACACAAACCTTTCAACATCAACCCCCTAGAAAGCTTTAAAGACCAAGGACCAGAGTTCTCTCTCGGGCTGTTTGGAGCACAGATATAAACAGGAGGAAGGGCTCCTGACAGCGGCAGTCCTGGAGGTGATGGTGTGATCCACAGAGGGCTGCGCAGAGGAAGGAAGCTGTTGATTTCTGTGCAGCATTGCCCCTATGGTCAGCTACAGCTCTTCTTTCTCTCTGGGAAGGCTTTTTTAGGGGAAGCTGTGGCACCCCAAGAAGAGACGAGGTGCTAAGGAGTACTAATGGTGTTTTACTGGCGAGATCCCTGAACTAATAAATTCTTGAATCTCCAAAGGTGAACCCTGCAACTCATTCCTTGCAAACCCTCTGAATGCTGTAGAGCTGAACGTATTGCATAAATCGTTCCTGTGTCTGACCCACAAGCGCGGGAGACCAAAGCTGGTGAGAGGTGTGGGGTTGGTTCTCCCCCGACCCTCTTCTCTCACTAGAGACTGTTGCCTAGTTAGGAAGGCAAATGCTGTGGTGGTGTTCAGCAC